GTCTCTACTGAAAAAATTATCTGGGTGTGGTGGTGGGCGCCTGTAATCCCAGCTACTCAGGAGGCTGAGGCAGGAGAATTGCTTGAACTGGGAGGTGGAGGTTGCAGTGAGCCGAGATCACGCCACTGCACTTCAGCCTGGGTAATAAGAGTGAAACTCTATCTCAAAAAAAAAGACTACCTAGAATGTATAAAGCACTCTTACAACTCAATAATTTAAAAAGTAAGCCATGCATACAACACCCACAAACCAAACAAAACCAAAAATCCAGCCAATTTTTAAAATGAGCAATAGATGTGAACAGACGATTCACAAGAAAAGACATACAGATTGAAAGAGGCATGAGAAAGGAAGTTTAACATCTTTAGTCATTAGGGAAATACAAATTAAAACCACGAGGTATTGTGACATACCAACTAGGATGGATAAAAAAAATCAAACAAACTGGTCAGGGAGGCTGTTGCTCCGCTGCCCAGGCTGGAGTGCAGTGCAGGATCTCGGCTCACAGCAGCCTCTACCTCCTGGGCTCAAGGGATCCTTCCACCTCAGCTTCCCAAGTAGCTAGGACTACACGTATGTGCCACCTTGAGGTCTCACTATGTTGCCCAGGCTGGTCTTGAACTTCTGAGCTCAAGTGATCCTCCTGCCCTGGCCTCCCAATGTGCTGGGACTACAGGCGTGAGCCACCTCGCCCACCCTCAGCTTTCTAGTGAACTCTCCACCCTGTTACCTTTTATTTTTCTTGGATTTTTGTTGTTTCTTCTGAGAGATTTCTTCAATTCAATCTTCCAATCCTTCCGTTAAATTTTTTAAATTCTAGATATCCTATTTGTAGCCAGCAAAGCTTCTCCTGTGCTCTGCTTGTTTTCCAAAGCATTCTGCTCCAGTTTTTATGGGGGTGTCATCCCTTCATACCTCTAAGGATAATCAGGTGGTTAAAATGTTCTTGAAGTTTTCTTCTGTTCCCTGTAGTAGCTCCGTTTCCTCTAATTTCCTCTTTTCCAGGTGATTGGTCTCATATACCTGGAGGTCTTACTTTTCATTCACAGCTAAGGGCGAGGTGCTAGGATGCAGCTCGGAGGCCCAGTCACTTTGCCGTGGCTTTGCGCCTTATTTAGTCCTGCAGTGATTGAGTAAAACCTGACCATCCCACACCATCCAATACTAAGCGCCCCTTTGTAATGATGTTGGGAGACCTTTTTTTTTTTTTTTTTTCAGACGGAGTGTTACTCTGTCTCCAGGCTGGAGTGCAGTGGCATAATCTCGGCTCACTGCAACCTCCACTTTCCCAGTTGAAGCGATTATCCTGCCTCTGCCTCCCAAGCAGCTGGGACTATGGGCACCCACCACCGCATCCGACTAATTTTTTGTATTTTTAGTAGAGACGGGGTTTCACTGTGTTAGCCAGGATGGTCTCGATCACCTGACCTCATGATCCACCACCTTGGCCTCCCAAAGTGCTGTAATTACAGGTGTGAGCCACCTCACCGGGCCTTGTGGAGAGGCCTTCTTATTAGTCTGAGGAAGTGCTTGTGTTATAGATTGTGGGGAGAAAAGCTGATTACAAAACTAATATCAAAGTAAAAATGTATGAAAGCACACTAAAGACACCTGGGAAATAATGCCCCTAATCTCACAGAGGTTCTCTCTGCCGGGCAGTCCCACCATCCCTCCTGTTTCCCTTCCTGCATTTCCACGTTTTTCCAGAAGCAGGCTCCCCTCCCACCCCTGGTTCCTCCACCTTGGCTTCAGGCTGCCCCCATCACCCCTCCTCCTCAGCAGCCCCTGCATCAGGTGGGGCGTCTGAGCTTGCTGGTGGACACGAACGTTGCTGGCCGGATGCCAGAATTAAGCCCTGCAGGTGCTGTCTCTGAATCCCCAGCACAGAGAAACCCACATCTCAGGGGTGAGGGATGCAGACCAGCCCCCAGCCCCCCTGCAGCCTGCCCTGCAGCACAGAACCAAGCACACCTCCAGGAAGGCGCCCCGAAGTGAGGAGGACCCTGGGGACTGGATGGAGGGCAGGGTCCCCACTGCTGCCTGGGAAGGCCCCGCACCCTCCATTCCCAGCTGCCCTCTGATTATATATCTCACCAATGTCAAGGGAAACCAGAACTGGATAGCAGTTAACGCATGAAAAACAGATTTTGTTGAGGACTATTGTAACAGGGAAAAAAAGGCTTTAGTAGAGGCCTGGGCTCAACTCCGAAAGCAGCACGGGCAGGGGGGATTCAGATCTGAGAAGCAGGGCGGGGTCAGGAGGTGGAAAATTACTAGGAGGAAGCAGCTGGGGGATTCTGGCAAAACCCAGATAACAGGAATCTTGCTGAAGGCAGGCTGAGGACTCTGATCAGATGTGGGGGATGGGGGCTTCTTGCCAAACTGACTTGGCAGGGTTCAGATGGGCCTGTGAGAAGCTGGACTACATTTGGTCAAGCAAAGAATCCTGTCATGGATTTAGTCATATAAATATGGACCACCCAGCCCAGGGGCGAAGCCCCACCCCATCTGGTTCCTCTCCCTCCCCACACTGAGTCCAAACCTTTCAGGCTTTGCCCCTTTTACACACCCCAAATGTGTTCTTCTGCTTCTCTTCCTGTGCGGACCAGACTCCAGCTGCCAGTCGCCCACCCGGACTGCTGGGCTTCGGGAAACAAGGCAGGACACCGGCAGGAAGGAACCCTGCAGGGCTGGGCGCCCTCTCCTCAGCCCCATGGCATCTGATTTGTGCAGAGCCTGCAGCAGCCTCATCCCAGTCCCTGCAGCCACCAGGAGGTGGTCCCCATCACCCCATTGCCCATTACCCCCATTCACAGAGGTCTCAGACTGAGGCTGGGGGGCACCATTACCCAAGGTCAAAACTTTGTTGTCTGCACCCCTGGAGAAGTGAGAGGAGTGGGGAGAAGGAAGGGGGGCTCTCTGTGTCCTCCCAACCTCAACAGAAGGTTGGGAAGGTGGGGCTGGGGATTCTGGAGGATTGCCCCCAACAGCCCAGCACCCACAGGCCACAGGTGGGCTCCCCATCAAGGCACCCCTTGTCCGGGATCCCTAGGGGTCAGGGCCTCTAAATACAAGAGGTGGGGTGGGGGCAATTCTCCACTGGGTCTGATAGTGAGACGGAGGTTTTCCATTTCCTGAGGGCAGTGGGTCCCATGTGGGTAGGGACACTCCAGCTGCTTATCCCAACAGGGGTGGATGCAGTTTGCAGGGCTGGCACCCAGTGTCTTGTCCCACATCTGCCTCTGCTCCTGTCGGTAGACAGGGGAGAGGATGGGGTAGCAGAGGCAGATCCTGGCAGGCAGAGACAAACATTTATGACCTTTGTCTTCTGACCTTTGCCTCTGCCCACTGCTCAAACTAAAACAGAATGGCCCCCTCCAGGAACAGGGATTCCTATGGGTTGGGAAGCATGGGGTCCCCACAGTGTGGCCTACCAGGGGAGTGGAGGGGTGGGGCAGGCCTGTGGGGGTCACAGAGCTGCGCTAAGTTTCAGAGTGAAGTAGCCCATGGGTGGGGGGAACGGCTGGGGTTAGGATCCCGCATTCCCATAGCCCCTAAAACAGAAGTAGAATTAGGGAGGACAAAGGACCCCCCAAGACCAAGGGGGCATCTATCAAAGGAGCTCACCACGGACAGGGGGCGTCCCAGGGCAAGGGTGACCAGGACAGCTCTAGGGAAATGCAGGAGGACCAGGAGAGGACTTGGAGAAGGACTGGAGATGCGGGGGGGGGGGGGGGGGGGGGGGGGGGGGGGATCTTCCCAGTGGTGACAGAGGCACCTTCGGACAGGAGCAGGGCACTACAGACAAGGTCAGCGGGAGGGGCTCTGGGTGGGGAAGAAGACTGGGAGTTGGAAGGAGACCTCTCCAGGGAGAAGGGAGGAGGGGGAAGGAGAAGGGGAAGAGCGGGAGGAGGAGAGTGGTCATCCTGGAAGCCACAGCCTAGGGGAAAACTTTCTAGAAGGAGGGCATAAACATCAGTGTCCCAGGATGCTGAGAGGCCGGGAAAGGTGAGGTCTCAAGGCGTCCATGGGGTTGTGGTGACCCCAAGATCACTAAGCACAGAGCAAGGACTGCTGGGGTTGGAAGGGGAGGAGCGGGGGCTGAGGTTCTGGTGGCGCCAAAGCCAGGTGTGATGTAGGCTTTAGGGGGAGTGAGGGAGGGGAGAGTGTTCCCTGAGCGCGCCTCTTGGGGAAGGTAGGGATTCTGGCTGGGGCTTCTCGGCTCCTAGGAAAGGAGGTGGTGCGGGAGGGAGGGGAGAGCGCCCTGCGGCCGCAGGACCAGCAGGTTGCGGCCCAGGGTCCGCGCGCTGTCACGTATGAGCGGTGCTGGAGGAGCCTCAGCGCGACAGAACTGGCTGGAGACCGGGGATGTGGCACAGAAAGAGTTAAAGGGCACCCTAGGGACCGCCCCGCCGGTCCACCCATGTCGGCCCCCACTCCAGCCCCCATCTGCTCTGCAAAGAGGCACGGTGGGGGCGAGTGCGGGTGTGGGTTCATCCAGAAAATCAGGAAGGCAGCAGGAAAGAAGCGGCGAGAACCCAGGAACACTGGAGGAAGGGCGCAAGGAGGTGCCCCGCCCAGGGATGCGGAGGGAGCGAGAGGACCGGGCGCTGAGCCACGGCCCCCACGCCCCGCCGCGCTCCTCCACACCTGGGGTGTCACCGCGGGGAGCCAGGACCCGCCGTGATCGCCACCTGCCGTGCCGGGGTCCGTGGGGTCAGGGGTCTGCCGGACCAGGATCCAGGGGACCAAGTTCTGTGCGGCGAGGGACCGCGGGGCGGAAGTCAGGGCTCCGAGTCTGCTTGTGGCCGGACGGGGTCCGCTAGCGGGTCCGAGTCGCTCTGCGGGGCTTACCGCGCAGGGTGGGCAGAACCGAAGTTCTCGGGGAGGCTGCGCGCGGGGCGGGCGGGGACCCTCGGCTGCTGCTCCCACCCCCGCGCTCCCGCCCCGCGCCCGCCCCTCCGCCGCCGCCCTCGCCCTGCGTCGCAGCCGGAAAGTTGGCTCGGCTGGCTTGGGGCGCGGGCACCGACGCCGATCCCGCAACGCCGTGGAGACTAGCGGCCACCGGGGCTCCGACCCGACCCGAGCGCTCCTGGAGGACGGCGGGAAACCGAGCTGAGCCCGGAGCAGCGCCGCGCGGTGAGCACCCGGGCCGTGGCCCGGGGGGGACGTTCCGGAGCCGACCCGGGCGGGGCAGAGACTGCGGGGCTGGGGATGCAGCGGGGCCGGGGGCGCAGCGGCGCCGGGGTCAGGGGCGCGGGGCGCGAGGAGGGGGAAGCGGCTGGCGGTCTCCGGGGTCCCGGCTGGCGCGGTCCTCAGTCCCATCGGATACCTCCGTTCCCAACCCCGGCTCAGACGCCCCCCAACCCTGGTCCTGCACAGTCGGGCAGGCCCAGGGGTCTCAGTGCCTCCTGCGTCCTCCGGTCCCGGGAGCGCGGCTGGGGGCGGGGGTGTCGCTGGCTGCCTGGCGCCAGGGCTGCCACCCTTTGCCGGACTCGCTCCTCCCTCCGGTCTCCCGGCTCCGCCGCCCTGGGAGCGCACAAAGTGCCGCGGATGCGCCCTCGGGCGCGGGGTCTCAGCAGAGCGCGCTCCCCTTGCCGGCTCCGGCCCCTAGGACTGCCCCGGAGCGCCGGCGTTGCCCGGGATGGGGTGGGGGTGTCTGCGCCCCGCCTGGCCGCTCCTCTTCCGCGGCCCACACTGGCGACTTTGACCCCGACAAGCGGGTCACTGCCCTGTCCGGCTCCGGCCTCTCCAGCGCCCCCCTCCACCCCACTACTCGGCCTCGGGGTTTATGCTCTGATCCCGGACCTCTCGGCGCCTGCATCCTCCGAGGACCAGCCAGGGCTGCTTCCCGCCGTTGATGTTGGGGCGCGAGGGTCGGGGTCGGGGGGGGGGTGGTGGTCGGAGCGCACCTGGCCGGGACCCAGGCCTGCCCCGCCCCCACAGGGTGAGGACGCAAGGAACAGGCTTTGTCAACAGCCTGTGGCCCCTGATCCCGCCCTGGTGCCCTGACCTTCCGACGATACCTTCTCTGGTTTCACAAAAACATCCCGGCTACCACGGCTACCACCCTGTACTCCTCCGAGCTACTGAAAGCGTCCGGGAGGCCCCTTGGGAACCTACTGTGGAAGCTCACTGCCTTCCTCGACCAGTGGCTGCTCCACCCATCCTAGGGGCCCAGCTCCAGGTCTGCGGGTCCCTCAGCCGCCCCCACCCCCCGTGGGAATTGGTGGAGCCTGATGGAGCCATGAGCACCCTAGTCACGTGTTCTGCCAGGGCAGGCACAGGATAGTCCATGGGTGCCAGCCCTGCTGAGCAACCGGGGCAGTGGAGCTCAAGTGGCCCCAAGCCCTGCTGGTGACTGGTGTGGCCCAACAGATGGCTGTGGGAGGAAGGGGGTGGGTAGCTGGGGGCCAGGGAAGGCTGGCAGTTCACCTCGGGAGCCCTCCCATCGGGCACCTCGGGTACCCTAATCCTCAGCTGACTCCAAGGAGCTTGGTAACCTGGTCTGTGAAGGCAGAGGGTGGGGTCCCTGGTGGGGCACAGAAGCCCGGCCAGGCACTGCAGGCCCAGGAAGCTCAGAGTGGCACCTCCACTGCTGCCTCAGCACCCAGAGTTTATGTCCACTCCTTCAGCCAACAAACGTAGATCCTGGGCGGACTGGTGCCCAGGCATCAGTGTCTCCTGGTGGGGGGAGAGGGCTGGGTGAGATTGGGGTCTCCTGTAGAGGGGAGAGGAATGGGTGAGATCAGGGTGTCCTGTTGGGGGAGAGGGCTGGGAGAGATCAGGGCCTCCTGTCGGGGGAGAGGGCTGGGTGAGATCAGGGTCTCCTGTGGGGGGAGAGGGCTGGGAGAGATCAGGGCCCCCTGTTGGGGGAGAGGACTGGGTGAGATCAGGGTCTCCTGTGGAGGAAGACGGCTGGGAGAGATCAGGATCTCCTGTGGGGGGGAGAGGGCTGGGTGAGATCAGGGTCTCCTGTTGGGGGAGAGGGCTGGGAGAGATCAGGGTCTCCTGTGGGGGGAGAGGACTGGGTGAAATCAGGGTCTCCTGTTGGTGGAGAGGGCTGGGAGAGATCAGGGTCTCCTGTGAGGGGAGAAGACTGGTGAGATCAGGGTCTCCTGTGGAGGGAGAGGGCTGGGTGAGATCAGGGTCTCCTGTGGGAGGAGAGAACTGGATGAGATCAGGGTTTCCTGTTCGGGGACAGGGCTGGGTGAGATCAGGGTGTCCTGTGGGGTGAGAGGACTGGGTGAGATCAGGGTTTCCTGTTGGGGAAGAGGACTGGGTGAGATCAGGGTCTCCTGTGGGTGAAGAGGACTGGGTGAGATCAACAGAGGAGGGTCCCTTCTTCCCTTCAGGCAGCAAAGCCGCTTCCCTTGTGAGCTGGTGTCTCACCGTCATTGATGTGGTGTGGGGTCCCCACTTGGGAAGTTAAACTGTGCCCTGTCCCAGGACCACAACCGGCTCAGCCCTGCTCTCCAGGCTGGGCTCTCTCCTGGAGGCTCAGCTGGCTCCACCCATCCCTGTTGAGATAAGCAGCTGGAGTGTCCCTACCCACATGGGACCCACTGCCCTCAGGAAATGGAAAACCTCAGTCTCACTATCAGACCCAGTGGAGAACTGCCCCCATCCCACCTCTTGTATTCAGAGGCCCTGACCCCTAGAGATCCCGGACAAGGGGTGCCTTGATGGGGAGCCCACCTGTGGCCTGTGGGAGCTGGGCTGTGGGGGGCAATCCTCCAGGATCCCCAGCCCCATGTTCCCAACCTTCTGTTGAGGTTGGGAGGACACAGAGAGCCCCCCTCCCTTCTCCTCCCCACTCCTAGGCCCTGAGTGCTTTAAAAAAAGGCCTAGGGGACTGGGCAGCCCACCCCTCCCTCACCTCGATGGGGTCTCTAGACTGAGCGCCCAGCCGGAAGGCAGGCCCTGGAGTGGAGGCCCTCATGTGTGGTGGCACCATCTCCTCTCTCTCGCTAGCTTGGGGTGTTCCCAGTGGCTCTGGGGTTGACACAGCAGTCATTGAAATGACTCCTGTTTCTCTGGCAGAGTTGTAGGGTCAGAGCCAGGCTTGGCCACACTGCGTTCTAAGGGGCTGTCATTTTGCCCAGGGAGCTCCTGGCTGGACTGCTTACCCCTGGGGCCAGCACGCATCCCCCATATCCCATTGCAGGGCCCCAAGGCAGGGAACAGCTTATCGGTCGGAGTCCTTCCTCCCCAGCCCTGGCCTGCATCTCCACCGTCCACCGTGCTCCAGCTGCCCCTTGTACCTCTCCCTGCCCCTTGCCCAGAGCCTCTGGCCCCTCCTGCACTCCTGAGCCTGTCCATCTAGCAGTACCCCTCCTCCAGGGCCCCTCTGGGTGGGGGTGCACACAGTGGGGAGAGGCAGCCCCTGCTGCTCTTCGCCCAGCCTGGTGCAGTGGCCAGTGCTGCCCAGGGCAGTGGCAGTGGATGGGGCTGTTTGATTAGAATCAGGGAAGATAAGGCCCCTTGTGTGACCCCAAAGCTGGGGATGACAAAACTGCCCCTCCTGCCCCACCCACCTGCTGCTCTGTCAAGAGAGAGCCCCCAATTCTGTGGTTCCTTGGTCCCCAGCACTAAGCCTGCCGGACTCCTCACCTGGCTCAGGGACTGGGCGTCAGTGACACACAGGTCCTGCCTCCCATTAGCCCCTTCATGAGCCCAGGGCCCAAGGGCTGGGGTTGGGAGCCCCTTAGCAGGCTGTGACACAGGTGCCTGTCCCTGTCATTCAGCTGTCAACCTGCATGGCACATCTCAGGCCCCGTTAGCGGGAGGAGCCCCAGGTGAAGCTGGCCCCACTCAGGATCACCCAGCCACTGCCTGGAGGAGGCTAAAATCCAGGCTGTACTGTGGTGGCCCATGTCCAGCCCTGCCCAGAAACCCTCTGCTCCAACTGCAGCCTTTGCCCCTCCTTACCCCTCTCCCTGGTACTGCCTTCCAGCTGGCCAGCCCTCCATCTGCCCAGCCATCCATCCACACCTCTTACTCTGAGGGTGCCCCAAAGAAGAGCCCATCATAGTCCGGGGGCTCACAGCCAGCCACTCGCAGGACCCTGTACACATACCCCACAGGAAGACCCTCCCTGCGTCTCCCACGGAATTCGGTGTGTTCAAAAACTGGGCTCCATAGCAGTGTAAGGCCGATTTCTGGGGCTGTTGCTGCCCCGAACTCCCAGCTCAGATGCTGGCTCTGGCCTGGGACCAGGCGCTGTGCCTCCTGCAGCCCCAGCAGGCACCACGAAGGCTGTCCTCCTCACCCTGTGCCCCCACCCCAGGCCAGCTCCTCCTTTGAGCCGGCGCTGGCAGTGCTAATCTCAAAGGAATGTGCAGCCAGCCAGTGGCATCCCAGGGACCCAGGAAGCCCAGCTGAGCCTTGCACAGCACCCCTGGGGCATCGAGGCACTCCATTGCTGGGCAGGGGGCATGCATGCAACAGACCCCCACACTTGGGGGTGGGGCCCACACTTGGCCTGGCGCAGCTGCAAGCCAGCCCAGCCACCTTGCTCACCGTGACCCTGGGGCCAAGTGATGGAAGGTCCAGACACTGCCACCCTCACGCTTGGCACGTTGGCTCGTCAGTCTGGCAAGCCAACTTTCCCAGGGGCTAAGAATAGGTGAGGAGAATGGTGAGGACCAACCAGCCGGGGGCTGTCAACTGAGAGAGGAGGTCAGCATCTGGGGAGGCTGGTCCCCCCCAAGACCATTGGGCCACCTGACAGGATGGTGGCTGCCACCAGCACTGAGACAAGGGTCTCTGGGACCCTGAGAGCTCCCAGCCAGCCAGTCCTGGGTGACAAAAAAGCCAGCTCCACCAGGGGAGATGGTGCAGCCCCCATGACCCTAGTCAAGACCTCCTGGCACGTGGGGGCTGGTCAGGTGGCCCGAGCTCCCCCTGTCAAAAAGTGGCCCTTCCTGGGGTCTCCTCCCTCCCAGCTCCCTCTATCCATAGGACCCTGAGGCTCAGAGGAGCAGCTTAACGGGAGAAGGACGCCCCCCTGGCCAGGACTCCCCAGGCTCTGCCACTCAGCAGCCCTCAGAGAAGCGTGCACACCCACCAGGACTGAGTGGCCCCAGACGTGCAGTCCCTGCCAGATGTTGGGGGCAGCTAGCTGCCCAGAGGAATGCCTCTCTTCCAGCCACGCCAACCTTTGCTGCTGCTGCTACTGCTGGTCTGTCAGGTGAGGACTCACACCACCCTCAGCACCCAGGGGCCTCCCATGAGGACTGCACACTGATGGCTGTGTGCCTGCCTGCCTGTCTGCCTTCCTGCCCATCTGCCTGCCCACCTGTCTGCCCATCTGTCCATCTGCCCGCCTGCCTGCCTGCCCGTCTGCCTGCCTGCCTATCTGTCTGCCTGACTGCCTGCCTGTCTTTCTGTCTGCCTGGTTGCTTGTGCATGTGTCCCCCAGCCACAGGCCCCCTCTGCTCAGGTGATGGACTTCCTATTTGAGAAGTGGAAGCTCTACAGTGACCAGTGTCACCACAACCTGAGCCTGCTGCCCCCTCCCACTGGTAAGTCCCCACACAGAGTCTTCCAGCCTGGGCCCCACCTGAGCTCTCTTCATGGGAAGGTTCCTGGGTGCTTGTGAAGCCCTGAAGCTACCCCGCCAAGGGGGCCATGTCATTCCTCAGGTGCCACTGCCACTGGCAGGTGTGGTAACAAGGTAACTGAGCCACAAATCTGGGGACCTGCCCAAGGCTGCAGAAGCAGGAAATAACAGAATGGTGGAAACTGGCTGCTGCTGCTGTGTGCCCCCAGGCCCAGGCGGGTAACACCACCTATGCCCATGGAGCTTCCAGTGGGCAGACAGTGCCAAGGTGTGGGAGGGGAGACCCAGAGGGTCAGCAGAGCACACAGGCCTGGGAGGGCTCTCATGACCTGGTCACTGTCACTGGGGGTTCAGGGAGAGGCTGGGGCTGGAGGACTTGCTGGGGAGGCAGTGCCATGGTTCAGACAAGGGAGGCGGCCTCCGCTGGGCAGAGGGGAGCAGGTGTGGCAGCCACAGCTTAGCAGTGCACCTAGGAAGGACGAAAACTGCATTGGGCTCAGCCTCAGAGAGGGAGGTGACTCGAGACGGTCATGGGGAAGGGAGGACGCCAGTGTAGGTTTAGGGCAGATTTGAGATGGGAGGTCTTCAAGGGAAGCTGTCCTGGCAGAGCTGGAACTCAGGGCGGGGCTGGGGGATTTTGGGGAAGGCTGGTCCGTGGGAGGTGGTGGTCAGGTGGGGGAGGTGGTGGTCAGGTGGGGGAGGTGGAGGTCAGGTAGGGGAGATGGAGGTTAGGTGCGGGAGGTGGAGGTCAGGTGCGGGAGGTGGTGGTCAGGTGGGGGAGGTGGAAGTCAGCTTCAGGAGGTGGAGGTCAGGTAAGGGAGGCAGCAGCCCAGACTACCTCCTGGGGGAGGTGACTGCAGAACCCAGGCTTCCAGAGGGAGGAAAGAGGCCTGCTGAGGGAGCCCTTTCTTCCTCCCTGCCCCGCCCCACCCCACTCTGCAGAGCTGGTCTGCAACAGAACCTTCGACAAGTATTCCTGTTGGCCGGACACTCCCCCAAATACCACAGCCAACATCTCCTGTCCCTGGTACCTGCCTTGGCACCACAAAGGTACCCATCGAGGGGCAGGGCTGTGGGAAGGGTGGGCCTGGGGTGGGGCTGACCACAGCCTGCCCCACACCCCCAGTGCAACACCGCTTCGTGTTCAAGAGATGTGGGCCCAATGGGCAGTGGGTGCGAGGACCCCGGGGGCAGCCTTGGCGAAATGCCTCCCAGTGCCAGATAGACGGCGAGGAGATTGAGGTCCAGGTCAGCCGGTGGCGGGCAGGCGGGCAAGGTGGGTCTGGATGGGGCACAGGGGCTCCACCCGGCCCTCACAGGCCACTGTGACTCACAGAAGGAGGTGGCCAAGATGTACAGCAGCTTCCAGGCAATGTACACGGTGGGCTACAGCCTATCCCTGGGAGCCCTGCTCCTCGCCTTGGCCCTCCTGGGGGGCCTCAGGTAGGATCCCGCCAGCACCCGGGGCGGCTGGAGAGGGCAGGGAGGAGGGAGATGCTGACTGTCTGTCCCCACAGCAAACTGCACTGCACCCGCAATGCCATCCATGCCAACCTGTTTGCATCGTTTGTGCTGAAGGCTGGCTCCGTGCTGGTCATTGACGGGCTGCTCAGGACCCGCTATAGCCAGAAGATCGGGGACGACCTCAGTGTCAGCATCTGGCTCAGTGATGGAGTGAGCCCCCCGCCCCAGGTGGCCCCACAAAGGCAGGTGGGTGGGTGGGCAGGTGGCCACGTGGCCACGCTCACACTGCACCTGTGCCAGGCAGTGGCCGGCTGCCGTGTGGCTGCGGTGTTCATGCATTATGGCATCGTGGCCAACTACTGCTGGCTGCTGGTGGAGGGCCTGTACCTTCACAGCCTGCTGGGCCTGGCCACCCTCCCCAAGAGGAGCTTCTTCCGCCTCTACCTGGGCATCGGCTGGGGTGAGTGGGCTGGCACGGGAGGGGTTGGGCATGCTAGCCCGGCCTTTCGACCACAGCTACTGCCCCCCACAGGTGCCCCCATGCTGTTCGTCATCCCCTGGGCGGTGGTCAAGTGTCTGTTCGAGAACATCCAGTGAGTATGAGCAGCTGGGCAGCCCAGGGAGGGGCCTGGGGTCTGGGGAGCAGGGCTCTGCCCAGAGGCAGGGAGGGGCTTGGGATGAGCCTGGTACTTGGGGAGGGGGGTCATTCTCAACCTTCTCCCTGTCTTTCCTGAGGTGTGAATTAGATCCTGGCAAAACTGGGCTGGGAGTGCTGAGGGGCTGAGGGGCTGGGCGTGGGGCTCCATTATGTGAGTGGTCTGGCATCACAGGTGCTGGACCAGCAATGACAACATGGGCTTCTGGTGGATTCTTCGGTTCCCCGTCTTCCTGGCCATCCTGGTGAGATGAAGATTGAGGAGCACACCCCAAGCCCCTCCTCCCTTGGTGTCCCAGCTTGCCTCAGGAGACAACAGCATCCTGCCTGGGAGGGCCAGGAGGGAGCCTCGCACCCAGCAAGGACACCGGGACACTGGCCAGCACCCTGGGCACTGAGCCAGGCTGCTCCTCCCTGGCCGGATGCCCACCATCCCAGGGCCATGTGGCCCAGGGCCTATCTGGCTGCCAGGCCCACCTGCAGGAGAGTCGGCTGGGGCCTTCCAAGGGCACAGAGCTGTCCCCTGGGGCTTGGGGTGGCCCTGACCGGCACCCTTCTCATGCAGATCAACTTATTCATCTTCATCCGCGTTGTTCATCTACTCGTGGCCAAGCTGCGAGCACGGCAGATGCACCACACAGACTACAAGTTCCGGTGGGTGCCATGGCGGGCCAGCGTCTGGAGACCTGGAGACTCTCAGGGCCAGAGGGGACCTGCGGTGGGGACTCCAAGCTCCACATGGATGATGTGGGCCAAGGGGCAGGGGTGGTGGGTGCCACGGTGGGGATGGCATCTTGAGATCTGGAGCCTCTCAGGGCCAGAGGGCACCTGGGGCAGGGACTCCAAGATCCATGTGGGTGGTGGGTGCTGTGGTGGGGCTGGTATCTTGAGACCGGGAGACCCTCAGGGCCAGAGGGCAGCTGGCGGTGGGGAGTCCAAGCTCCACGTGAGGGTGGCAGGTGGCTCAGGCTCTGCCTCCGCAGGCTGGCTAAGTCCACGCTGACTCTCATCCCCCTGCTGGGGGTCCACGAAGTGGTCTTCGCCTTTGTGACAGACGAGCACGCCCACGGCACCCTGCGCTCTGCCAAGCTCTTCTTCGACCTCTTCCTTAGCTCCTTCCAGGTGCCTGCCCGCCCTCCAGTACCCCTATCCAGGGCACAGAGTGCCACCCCTGACCACTCTCTCTCTCCAGGGCCTGCTGGTGGCTGTCCTCTACTGCTTCCTCAACAAGGAGGTAGGTGGGAGTGGGGATGTCTGAGACCATCAGCCCTGGCCGTCAGGGTCAGGGGCACATGGATATCAGCCCCACCCCTGCCCAGGGGTTGGAGCACACGCAGCCCAAGCATTTCCCTCCACCTCCACTTACTGGGTGCAGTTGCCATAGCGCTGGGTGTCAGGCCCCCAAGACAGGTTGGCCTCGACCCCATCGTCAGGGTGTACACAGTGGGGAGTACCCAGGTGTCTGCAGACTGTGCTTTCCATGGCAATGGCTGGGTGGCCTAGGGAGCCACCAGGAAGGCTGGCCGGCATAGGGAGCCACCAGGGAGGCTGGCCACCTGTGCCCAGCAGGGAGCTTGTGTCACCCTGTGTGCCTCAGAGCGGAGACTGGGCATCTCCAGCGAGGCCCACAGCAGGTTCTGGCAGGGCAGAGATAACAGGCAGTCCCTGGGACTGGCCTGCCTCACCCTGCCCCCAGGTGCAGTCAGAGCTGTGGCGGCGTTGGCACCACTGGCGCCTGGGCAAAGTGCTACGGGAGGAGCAGAACACTAGCAGCCACAAGGCCTCATCTGCGCCCAGCTTCAGCTCTCCCAGCAAGAAGCTGCGGTTTGGGAGCGGTAGAGGCAGCCATGGTGCTGGCCAGGATTCATCTGTGGCAACCCCCTTGGCCGGTGGCCTCTCTAGGTTAGCTGAGAGCCCCTTCTGAACCCTGCTGGGACCCCAGCTGGAGCTGGACTCAGACACCCAGAGGGTGGCGCTGAACAATCCAGAACTGGAAGCCCAGCTGAGGCTGGGATGGGAAAGCCAACAGCAGCCTCCCCCTACCCCCACCCACAGTGTGGCGATCTGTGAGGTGGGGCCTCCCCTCCCTGTGCCTGCCCTGTCCCTGGTGCAGGGGGGAGCAGAGGAGTCCAGGGCAGGGGTGGGGCACTGTGCTGGGGACTGCACGCCTGTGTCCCCATGTGTCCCGTGATGTCCTACGTGTGTGGAACTGTCCAACAATAAAGAGCTCAGGTGGCCACCACGCGTGTCGGAAAGCAAGGCTGGAAGAGCCGAGGCCGGAGCAGTGGGGGATGGAATAGCGGTGGGTGGTCAGCACCAGCGCGGGTGCTGAGGATCCCCCAATGCCCCAGCTCACAGACAGTTGGTACTGGAACCCCAGAGGGAGGCCAGCCTGTGCCCGTCCAAGCAGGCCCTGGGTACCTTCCCCTCCTGGTTCTGGTGGGCAGTCCCCCTGGACCCTTTCACCACCAGAGGGTCCCCATTCACCAGCAGAGATGTGAGGGGAGCATGAGACATCAGTCCCCCTGTCGAACCTATCCGCACCAGATTCACCCAAGGGCATCTTCTCCATGGAGGCCTGCCCTTCCTGAGCCCCCTGGCCTCCACTTTATCTCCACTCCAGCTGCCTCGGGCAATTTGCAGGCCACCTAGCAGATTGAAGCAGGAAGAAATGAGCCTGAACATTGCCACGAGTCCAGGTGAAGGGGCAGTGCCCGATGTCTCAGCTCTGCACAGCCGCCATGCCACACAGAAAGGTCCGGCCCATGCCGGGCCTCGTGCTACCATGTGGTGGGGGAGCACCCTGCTTGCCAGCCAGCTACCATGTGGTGGGGGAGCACCCTGCTTGCCAGCCAGGGAGCACCAGGAAAGAGCTGCCTCTTGTACACAGGAGGTGCTTCAGGGTGGGGGCTCCCATTGTCTGGGGCACACCCTGAGTCTAAGGTCCCCGGGACCACACAGCAGGGGTGGGGACAAGTCCAGCGTGGATGCCCATGAGATCAGCCCTCCGGGTGGTCCCTGCAACAGGCGCTGTGAGACCTGCTGAGGTGTGTGCATGGGCTGGGGAAGGAGCCAGCCAGGTGGCCCTGCTCTGAGGAGCTGCTGGGAGGTGCGGCTAGGCCCTGGGGGAGGGGGTGCTCACAGCCCCCGCCTGGGCCATGTGGGCTGGAGCCACTCAGGCAGAGCCGGACTAATTGGAGCAAATGAGGGTACAGGAGGCTGCTGAGGAAAGGTAAATAGAATTACTCACCCGCCAGGCACTGGGGCCCTCCTGGGGGGGCCTCACCCTGCCACCCACCACAGGGCCTTTGTGCAAGCCTGGGGCTCTGTGGTTACTGTGATTGGTGGGGGCTGCAAGGCCAGGAGATGGTCCCTCCAGCAGCACCTGCTAGAGGCCTGTGGTCTTTGCCCTTAAGACTTCAGGCCAGCTATACGCCCCACCAGCCTCAGGTCCTGGCTCTCCTCTGAGCCCTGGATGCCCAGATGCCCGTGTGGGGACGAGGCTGTTCTGAGTCAGCACAGGGAGGTTGGCATTCTCCGTCATGCCAGCTGAGCTCAAGGCTGGTAACTGCCCTGGGGAGTGTGCCCCTCACCTGGGGCTTCCTGACAACCCTCCCTATCCCGAGTCCCTCTGCCCTTATCCTCTTTCACCCCTATCCAGTCCTCATCCCTAAGGGAACTGGAGCAGGCTGGTGGAGTCTGGCAGAGTTGGGGGCCTGGCAGGGGCTGGACTCACCTCTGCAATAAACACTGGCCCTAACCAGGCAGCCCCGCAGGCAGGTAGGTGGAGGGACCCACCTTTTTTTTTTTGGAGACAAGAGTCTTGCTCCGTTGCCCAGGTTGCAGTGCAGTGGCATGATCTCAGCTCACTACAATCTCTGCCTCCCAGGTTCAAGTGATTCTCTGCCTCAGCCTCTCTAGCAGCTGGGATTGCAGGCATGCACCTCAACACCCAGCTAATTTTTGTATTTTTAGTAGAGACAGAGTTCTGTCATGTTGGCCAGGCTGGTCTTGAACTCCTGACCTCAAGTGATCTGCCCACTGCAGCTTCCCAAAGTGCTGGGATTACAGGCGTGAGTCACCACACCCAGCTGTAACCCATTTTTTAACTCAGTCCACAGCATCTCCCTCCAACTTGGGCCCTTTGCCCATTCCCCATCTCTACCTCCCCTCCCACCTCTACCTCCAGTGCCTCAGCCCAGTTCCTGCAGAGGAATGCATGGGTATTGCCAGCAGGGTGTGTGTGTGTGAGAGCACACTGCACAGGGAAGGGCCCGTGTAAACATGAAGGGAAACGAATACCTGTGTGTGTCCAGTGGGGAAGGTATGCGATGCCCAGTATCCCAAAGGGGTATTTGCAAGAGCTGTGTGTGGTCTGCGTGCATGGCTGGGAGGGAGAGGACTCTGACCACCCGGAATCTGGTGTGTGCACACACATACACTACTGAGAGTGGAGACCAAGAACAAGGAAAACAGGAACTACATCAAGGGGATCTAGGACAGTGAGTGGTGTGCCACAGGAATGGGGACCTTGAGCCTGGCAGAAGGCTCAGGAGAGACACCCTCAAGGGGATGAACGTGATTGAATGCACTAAGATGTAGAGGAGAGAGTTCACACCTAAGTGACTAGTACATGAAAACTAAACAAATGAAAAAAGAAGGCAAATAGTAACTCCAAAGAAAAGAAAGTTGGTCAGAAAAGAACAAAAGGAGCAGAATTTGCCACATGACTCAGTTCTGAATACCAACACAGACATCGTAATGTAAACACTAACACTGATGTAACTAAAATCAAAGGCAAAAAAACAACTAGGGACAGTGGTGGACAGGAATATTTTGTTATGTACTGGGGATGCGGGAGAGAACAAAATGAGGAAAGCATGAAGTCACAATCCACGTTAGAAATAAAAATACAGACCAAAATTTAAAAACACAAAAATGAAGAGTTCAAAGTGGTCATTTCTAGGCAAGGTGGGTGGGAGATGCCTGAGGGTGCAGGTCCACTTGAGCTGCCTCAGCCTCCCCCAGACACCTGTACTCCTCCCCCTGCACTCACTCAGCCCTGATTCTCCCCCTGCACTTCCTCATCCTCTCCCAGCATTCACTCAGCCCTGATCCTCCCCCTGCACTCCCTTATCCTCCCCCTGCACTCACTCATCCTCTCCCTGCACTCAGCCCTGATCCTCCTCTGCACTGACTCAGTCCCATCCTCCCTCTACACTCACTCGGCCCTGATCCTCTTCTGCTTGCTCTTTGTCTGACCTTGCTCTTCACTGTTTCTTTTTCTACCTCCTCTCCCTGTTGTGTCTAGGGAAAAAGCACCACCCTCAATTCTTCTTTATCAGTCTTTAGAAATCAGCAGTGCTCTGCTAACTCCTCATCTAACTCATCTATCTCCTGAGCCTTGTGGCCCTGCTGAATCCACACTTTAGATCCAGCTCTGCACATACACCTGGACATCCACACCTAGCTGCTGACCCCTGACTTCTTCCTCCCACCATCCACTGCAGAAGCCTCCTAACAGGACCTGCTTCTGCCCTGAATCCTGCAGCCCATTTCCCACAGTGGCCAGATGCTTTGACACCCGAAGTCTCAAGAATCCGATCAGGCCTCTGCACTGCACCTCACTTTACAGAAGTACAGGGGACGGAGGGGCCTGTAAACACCACAAGGATGCAGTGGCCAAAGGCAGAATGTGGGCTACGTGACTGTCCAATGCCCAAGGGTCCTCACAGGAATGGAAGAGGAGGGGCACATTACTGAGAGGCTTAGGGACTCACACACTGCCCTCGATGCTGAGCCAACAGCCCACCTGGAACGTATTCATTCAGCCCTTAGGGAAATAGTGGGCTCTATCGACTATCAGGAAATTGCTCATACTCAATAAGCATTAAATACAATTTTCATAAGAGCTTAGCCCCCCCCCAAAAGAGGTCACTATTTCCTCACTTGTAAACTGGGCTAAAATTTGCCCCATGGAGTTGTCAACATTGAGTGACAGCAGATACAGATAGTTGACGTGCGTGGACAGCAACGGCACAACAGGCAGTGGTCATGGTTGCCTCATTTCTTCTCATTGAAGAAAAGGGAGCATCTCTAGCCACTTAGCCCAGCAGCAGGGCTAAAGAACAGGCTGGGGTGGGAGGACCGTGGCTCTCTGGGGATTAGGTCCAACGGTTAGCTCCCGCAGCCCAGGGGAGCAGGTGTCCACTCTAGCCTCTGGGCCCGTTCTTTACCTGCTCAAGCTGAATGTGGAGACCCCCACTTTGTGACTACAAACTGCTGGGTAAGACCACCTTGTGGGACTGCAGGGTTGACCTCACTGGGAGGGCAGGTTTGCTTTGGCGTCAGGGCTCTGGTCCTGACGGGTGCCCGTTCACAGCCTCAGCCTGGGGACCACCATGAGCTACCCACCCCTCATCCCCGTGCTGGCATCCCTCAAGCTGCAGCAGCGACAGTGGGAGGCAGCTTGTGTCACCCTAGCCTGGTGGGCCCTCAAACAGTCCTTGAAGGACTCACAGGTCCCATAGGTGCTAGATAAGCCCATGAGTTTACAGGGAGTTAGCTTGGGGCTGGGTACCAGTAGGGTGCACAGGCCGCCAGGCAGCAGCTTGGCTGGTTTATTACTGGAACACTCTTCCCCACTCCTCCTCCCCAGGGAGGCTGGCTCTGAGCCAGCATCGCCTGCACCAGCCCACCCGCCAGGAGGCGCCTGTGGGGCCACTCAAGCTCCAAACATTCTTCTGGGAAAGGGTGTTCCTGGAATCAATTCCGGTCTGGCTTCTCACAGCAGCAGGAATAGAGCTCAGTGTCTGGCCTGCCAGGTCAGCTTCCAGGTTTGAAGGTCAAGTGCAACCAGGTCTCTCCAGGGCCCAGCAGCACACCCTCCATCTGGACAGGGGAGGAGCCAACTCCCTGGAGAGGCCACAGATAGTGCCCCAGAGGGTGGTTTCAGGGTTACGCCTAGTACCCCTGGGGCCCCTTGGGGAGCCCCTGTAGTGGGACAAGGGTGGTGACATTGGGCATCCCAGCCTCTCCCTCCAGAATGCTCCCTGCCACCACCTGCCCCTAGGAGGCCTGAGCACCCCCAGTGGCGCAGACTGAGAATTTCTGGGCCTGAGGAGCCTTCACAGTGATCTGGAGTTTCCAGCCCTGCAGGGGAGCTGTGCATGTGTGTGCTTCGGGGGCAGAGGCCTGACAGACTGCCAAGAGGCCATGCCCAGTTCCACTGCCTTTATTCACAGACCCTCACACTCCCCAGCCACACAGACACTTGGCTTTCAGAGGGCACAGGAAGAAAAAGGGGCCCTGGTGACCCTCCCAGCACACCCCCGAGCCAGGATAGACCCAGTAGCAGCACCTCAGGGTCAGCCTGGGTGCACATGCCCATGGGGACACTGTGGCTGCAGACACCAGGAGGCCAGGCCTGATTGCTGGGGACCCCTTTGGGGGCCCGGCAGTATCCTAGGCCCAGGGAGCTGGTGCTAAGTCAGGGAAGGGGCCAGGCTAGATGATGGGGGTGGGGGTGAGAAACTCCCCAGCATGTCCAGGCCACAGGAGCAGCAAGGGTCTTCGGGGGACCCAAGTTGGATGAGGTGGGGCTGCCCTTGTCCTGTGTACTGGCCACTTCAAAGACAAAACTAGCCCAGTCTCAGCAGCCTGGGGGGCAACAGAGGCTCATTCTTCTCCCCTCCTGATCCTGCAGTGGCCAGGGACAGAGGGGTGAAGGGAGAGGAGAGGTCAGGTCAGGTCCCCTCGGGGCCAGGCAGCTTCAAAGATGCAGCCAGGTGGCTGGGAGAGGGTGGGAAGGTAGGCAGGGCCCAGACCCCCATGATGGGGGCAGCTTGAGACCCCCAAGAGGAAGGAAGGGGGCTTGGAGAGGAGGGGCAGGCCTCAGCCATCAGTCACACTGGTCCTGGGGTCTGTAGCCTGCTGGAGCAAGAACCCCCATCCCAGGAGCAGGGCCAAGGGCCAGGAGGGAACCGACACCTGGCACCCTGATCTTCCAGAGGCCGTGGAGGGGCACCGGGTTCTCTAGGACTTCTTGGCATCCTGAGTGCTCCGGCGCTTCAGATCGCTCAGGTCAATGGGCTTGAAGGCTGCCAGGGAACAACTTGGTAGGGGGCAGGCACAGGACCCTCCAGCCCATATGGCCCAGACTGCCAGCCCAGCCCATCCCCAGGTCTGCCCACACTCACTCTTCAGGCTGGGGTTAGGGACCTTCTCCACGTACTCCTCCACCAGGCCCCGCTCACCACCTGGCACCTGGCTGCGCAGGTCTCGCTCCACACCCTGCCAGGCTGCAGAGGCAGAGGGCAGAGTGCTCAGAGCCCCATGCATACAGGGGGTGGCATCCGCACCAGGAGAGCGCCCGCCCTCAGCTCCTGCCCTCCCAGACCTTTTCTCCCTTAGAAGTGTCCTCCAAGCTCCCTCCACGGCCCTCTGCCCACCCCAGCCTCACTCACCCACAGACCTCGTCCCTGCTCCTCCAGGAGGCCTGTCCTTTCCCTACACGATGACCAGCACTGTAGTCAGAGGGACCCCTATGACCCTACCCCAGGCTTCCCGGAGCCTCAGGGGCAGCGCGTCCTCCTCAGCTGGGCCTTCACCTTTCCCACCTCATCCACAGGCCTCCCCAGCCCCAGCACACACGCACACTCCCCCAGCCCCAGACAACCCCCTGGCACTTCTGCAGCACACCCCCTCATGGCTAGGTGCACCCCCATCTCTCTTCAAAGGCTTCTCCCTTTCCCCAGCAAACTCCTCTAGTGCTGCCAGCACTGATGACTGGCTCCCACCACGGCCTCTATCGGGGCATGACCCACTCTCAACCCCTCCTACCGGGCTCCCCACAACATCAGAACCAGGTCTCCTCTCCACACAGGGTCCCCCCGGTCACACCCACCCGCCTGGGCTCTGAAGGCTTTGGATGTAGTGATGGGGTATCTTCGCCCTGGAGGGGCCGGGGCAGAGGCTGTAGGAGGTTCCTCGGAGCCTGGGTCCTGGGCTGGGGGCAGAGCTGACTCCGACAAGGACCAAGGACAGACAGGAGCCACATGTGGTGGGCACACCCACCTTCGTAAATGAAGCGCACGTTCTCCTCGTGGGCAGGGGTGAAGATCTCGCTGCTGCTGGGCGGGGAGCGGGGGCTGCTGGTCCTCTTGCCGTTGTACACGACTCTGGAGACGGGGGAGCTGGGGAACCCCCGCACATGAGGCAGGGCAGATAACAGGGTGGGAGACCACACCCCTGCCCCAGTGGAGGCCACCCCACCTGCCTGAAACCCACCTGGTCATCGCGGGGGCGTCTGATCCTAGTGCTCCGCCGCCAGATCCCCTCAGCCTCTGAAACAGAAGCCAGTGTAGGAGCAGGACTCAAACGGCCAACCTCTCCAGGGGTGGGACGAGGAAGGCACAGGGCACAGCTGCCTCCTCCCTTCAGATGTGAACAAAGTGCAGGTCCCCCTGACCACCAGGGAGTCCCCCACAGGTTGGGGTCCAGCCATGGGCAGCCAGTGGGCTCCAGGCAACCTTAGGAGGTAGCAGGGAGCTGGCCAGAGCCAGCCAGACACACGCATGACTTGAAGCAATTAAGCCCACTCAGTGGCCTTAGCTCTGCAAGATGCAGTCCTCAGCCTCAGCACCGGGACCACTGAGGCTGGGTCCCTCCCGTGGGCTGGGGGGGCCTGTCAGCATCCCTGATGTGGGACTGCCACTCACTGTAGCAGATGGTCTGCAGCCCCTGAGGAAACTGACCCTGCTCTCCCTGCTGCAGGGCTGGGCACGCAGCTTCTGCTGAGCCTTGATTTCCTGTCTGTAAAATGGGGATGAGCTTCCTAACAGTGATGCCTGCTCCCTAGCACCTACCCAGGCCCAGCTTCCTGGTTTCCTAGAACATGAGCCACATCAGTTCCCTGGAGATGGAACCAAACTCCAACTCTACCGGTGATCAGAGGGAGTGACCCTGGAGGAAGATGCTGGGCCTAACCTGGTGACTGGGACCCTGGGCTGCTGCCTGTTTATGGCCTCTCAGCCCAGGGGATTCCACAGCTCTGGGAAAGGGAGTCTATTTTGAGACTCGGACTCACACTGGCCAGCTGGAATGTCCCCACTCCAGCTGAGGACACACAACTCCAAGGTGGGGAAGCTGACAGGGCTGGTCTCCAGCCTGGCCTTGCTCTGGAGGGGGCAACTCTAGGTGCTCGGGGAGGGGAGTCTCAGGATTCCCAGGAGGGGGCTTTTGGCACAAGCAACTCCCCTGCCTACCCCTAGGGCCTGAGGCTCCAGATACTCCAGGCGACATGGCTGCAGCCCTCACAGAGGGCCATGAGCACTGAGTCCTCTCTGGCCCACTCCACCTCACGTCAACAGTCCAGCCCTCAAACACCACATGTGAACAGAAGCCCAGGACTCAAGGGCCAAACCAGCAAAGAGCAGAAAACCAGCTCCCAGCCCTGGAACTCTGTGCCCCACTCCAGGCCAGGAGTGGGGTCCAGGCAGAGCCTGGGGCTCCCTGCCTGTAACAGGACCCAGTTTGCTCACAAAGTCACCTCTCCTCTCCTGGACTCTGGGATCTCTCTGCCCACAGACCTACCAGGGACTCCAGCCCAGAACACCAGAGCACAGAGGGAAAGGCCTCTTTGGGCTGAGGGTCCCACAGGGACATGCTGCCTGCTGGGAAGCTCCCCTTAGAGAGAAAGGCAGAGCTCAGGTAACAGGTGGACCAGTCCCCTGCCCCACTCACTGCCAGCTCTAGCCACTGACCACCTGCTGCTTCAGGGGTACCTGCCTCCCAGCCTGCCCTCCCAAATGGCTCTTCTCCCTGGGCAGCCTCTGCCTCCAGTGGCCACTTGGCCTTTATGCAGCCATACCTTTGGCCTGGGGTCCTCCTGCAGTTTTAACTCCTGCCCCAAATACCACTGATGGCGCCCCACATCCTCTCAAGAAACTACCCTTCCGGGGCCCCCTTTGCTTTGCTACACACACATACACACACACACACACACCCCTGCTGCATACACCTTAGCTGAATATACCTGCCACACACATGCCCACACACACCTGTCTGTACAGCCCTGCCCATACACACGCTGCACGTATCGATCTGAAAACAGCTGGTATGAAGCATGCGCTTGTATCCCAGCTACTCAGAAAGCTAAGGTGGGAGGACTGCTTGAGCCCAGGAGGTCAAGGCTGCAGTGAGCTAAAATTGTGGCACTGCACTCCAGCCCAGGCGACAGGGTGAGATGCTCTGTCTCAAATTAAAAAAAAAAAAAAAAAAAAAGGCCAGGCATGGTGGCTCACACCTGTACTCCCAACACTTTGGGAGGCCCAGGTGGGTGGATCACCGAGGTCAGGAGTTCAAGATCAAACTGGCCAACATGGTGGAACCCCTTCTCTACTAAAAATACAAAAATTAGCCCGGCGTGGTGGCAGGTGCCTGTAATCCCAGCTACTATGGAAGCTGAGACAGGAGAATCACTTGAACCTGGGAGGTGGAGGTTGGAATGGGCCAAGATTGCGCCACTGCACCCTAGCCAGGGCTAGAGAGAAATTCTGTCTCAAAAAATATATATACAAAAAAATAAAACAGGCCAGGCAAAGTGGCTAACCTATTAAAATAGGCCTGTAATCCCAACACTTTGGGAGGCTGAAGAGGGATCACTTGAGCCCGAGTTCAAGACCAGCCTGGGCAACATGATAAAGTCCTATTTCTAACAAAAAATATAAAAATTTCGCCAGCAGTGGTGGCTGAGGTAAGTGGATTGCTTGAGCCTGGGAGGTGGAGGCTGTGGCACTGCACTCCAACCTGGGTGACAAAGTAAGACTGTCTCTAAATAAATAAATGTTTTTAAACCCCCTAAATAGAGCTGGGCGTGGTGACTCACGCCTGTAATCCTAGCACTTTGGGAGGCTGAGGTGGGTGGATCACCTGAGGTCAGGAGTTCAAGACCAGCCTGGCCTTCATGGTGAAACCTCATCTTTAAAAAAAATAAAAGTAAACCCCCTAAATATATCCACCTACTGTGTACCCATACATTTTTTTTTAGGTCAATAGGGAGTCCCATGTGCCTTCTCTTGCTAGGTGAAGACAGGTGCCCACTGTCCCCAATACCACAGTCTGTGTCCTGTAAGTCTTCCCAGACTCGAGGAGCCCTCTGACCTCTCCCTACCTCTTACTCTGGCTCAGCGACCCCCAGGGCCTCCAGCTGACCCCACCCCTGCACACTTAGACACAGGCTTTCCTGGACGTGCCAGCAGTTCCCAAGAGGTCAGTGGCCTGCTGTCCCCCTGGAAGCAGAAGAAACGGTTCTGCAGCTCACTCAGCCTCACTGCCTCCTGGGGCTCTGCCAAGAAGCTGGGTGCCAATTCTGACCCAAAAGGAATTTTCCATTAAAAATCAAGCATCTGTGCACACCCTATGACCCAGCCATTCTGCTCCTAGGTACACACACCCAAGATATGTACGAGGACAGCTGGAGAATCTCCACTTTTAATTACCCTAAGAGTGGCAGTGCACACCTGGCCTGTTCACATAAGGAAATCAGCAGCTGGAGGTGGGCACCACAGCACCTGTGGCAGAGACAGCACCGAGCACAGGGCAGGACCTGAGGGTGCACAGATAAGCCCTGGCACACACAGCACGAGAGGAGCCTGCGGAGGGCCGAGGTGCAGGCAGAAGGAGCCAGGGCCAGGATGGCAGCAGGGAGGACAGGAAGGAGCCCTCCATGGAGAGGGCTGGAGGTCAAGCGAGCTCTGGACCAAGAGATCACCGTGGACCTGCAATGAGAAAGCCTCCAACAGCCTCAGCAGGGCGGCCTAGCACAGTGGGGCACACAGCAGGGGGGAGGGCAGGAAGTGTGGCAGGCAGGCCGGATGGGCAGCAGGCTGGTGTCTGGCTAAGCAGACAGACCCCTGAGGCACAGCACACACACAGGGTCCCTGAGGTGGTGGTTTGGAGGGGACAGGCGCAGGGCAGGTGAGAGTGAGCAGGAGATAGTGGCACAGGCCCAGAGAAACGCCAGGGGCTGGAAAAGACCCACCTGAGGCAGTGGTCCTGGAGCTGGCAGGATCCTGACCCGTTGCTCAGCTGCCCAGGTAAAGGTGAGTGGCGGCCTAACCTAGGCCAACCATAGATGAAAGGCAGGAGGGAAGGGGCTCCATTCAGCCCAGAGAGACAGCTCTACTTCAGAGGTCTCAAGATCACACCCAGCCCGGCCCCCACGGCCTTCATCCTACCTGGGCCACCCCCAGGGTGAGAGCGGCAAGGAAGGGGCAGGCAAGGCCTGCCCCATTTTCCTTCCCTCTTTCAGTCAGAAACCAGGCTGAGCCTGCTGACCACCTGGCACGGCCCTGCACTCCTCAGTGGCTACACCACATCCCACTGCCTCTGAGAGTTTTCCTTCCTAGTTTTCACATTTCAGTATCTTTGAAACTGGGCTGCACCTGACTATTGCTAACACGTCAGAGTTTACCCGATGGCAGCTTTTCTTTCTCAGTATACTGCGAAACACAGCGGAGCTTATGATGGCTGGGGTCTCACATGGAAGGACCCTCAGTGACGCTCTCCTGGCCCAGGACTGCCCTTCCAGAGCTCCTCAGGCAACATGGTCTTTAGGTACTTTCTCTCCTTTCCCCCAAAGCCTTCCAGACCCCACACCACCCAACCCCGTGCTGGGACAACCTTTGGTTCCAGACCCCCCAGCATCAGGACAGGTGCACACGGATGTCTACATGATCTTCCTGATACCCTTTCCAAAGCTCACTTACCACTAGGGCTTCACCCAGGCCCTCTGCTGCCAACAAGCCCACTGTCCAACCCCAGCCTGTGTGATCAAGCACCACCTGCTACTCCACTCCTGCCCTGATCCCAAACACAGCCTTTGCCACAGGACCACCTGCTGCCAGCCACCCAGGGTACAGGCAACCCACACGTCTGTGCATTCTGCAGGATCTGACTGCCTGCTTCCGTGGCTATCCAGCCTACAGGGCCTGGCCTACTAGGGCTGCAGGTATTCCCGGGCTCTGCAGCCCCAGGCAAGCTCCTCTGAGCCTCAGCATCCACATCCAAAGTGATGCTCGCCTGCTCCAATGGGGAGAGAAGCACGGCCACAGAAAGCCAGCACCTCAGTGAGGTCTCTGTTGCTCCTTATCCAACATGACAATGGACAGGACAAGCATGTGCCATATCGTTCATCTGGATACTATTAAGAATGAAAGGGGACCAGGTGCAGTGGCTCATGCCTGTATTCCCAGCATTTTGGGAGGCTGAGGCAAGAGGATCACCTGAGGTCTGGAGTTCGAAACCAGCCTGACCAACATGGAGAAACCCTGTCTCTACCAAAAATGCAAAATTAGCCGGGGGTGGTAGTGGACACCTGTAATCCCATCTACTCAGGAGGCTGAGGCAGGAGAATCGCTTGAACCCAGGAAGCGAAGGTTGCAGTGAGCCAAGATTGTTCCATCGCACTCCAACCTGGGTGACAAGAGCAAAATTCCCTTAAAAAAAAAAAAAAAAAAAATGGCCAGGCGCAGTGGTTCACGCCTATAATCCCAGCACTTTGGGAGGCCGAGGCAGGTGGAGTACGAGGTCAAGAGATCGAGACCATCCTGGTCAACAAAGTGAAACCCTGTCTCTACTAAAAATACAAAATTTAGCTAAGAATGGTGGTGTGCGCCTGTAGTCCCAGCTACTCGGGAGGCTTAGGCAGGAGAATTGCTTGAACCCAGAAGGCGGAGGTTGCGGTGAGCCGAGATTGTGCCATTGCACTCCAGCCTGGGTAACAACAGCGAAACTCCGTCTCAAAAAAATAAATAAAATAATGAAAGGGGCTGGGTGTGGTGAGTTAATCCTAGCACTTTGTGAGGCCAAGAGTTCAAGACTGCCCTGGCCAACATAGAAAAAGCCCCACCTTGGCTGGGTGTGGTGGCTCACACCTGTAATCCCAGCACTTTGGGAGGCCGAAGCGGGCGGATCACAAGGTCCGGAGATCAAGACCATCCTGGCTAACATGATGAAACCCATCCCTACTAAAAATATAAAAATTAGCTGGGTGTGATGGCATGCACCTGCAGTCCCAGCTACTCGGGAGGCTAAGGTAGGAGAATTGCTTGAACTCAGGAGGCGGAGGTTGAGGTGAGCCGAGATCGCACCATTGCACTCCAGCCTGGGTAACAAGAGCGAAACTCCAACTCGAAAAAAAAAAAAAAAAAAAAAAAACAGCATCCCATGATCCACCTGCCTCGGCCTCCCAAAGTGCTGGGATTATAGGCGTGAGCCACCGAGCCCGGCCTTGTTTTTTTGTTTTTGTGAGTTTTTTTGTTTGTTTGTTTGTTTGTTTTGAAACAGAGTCTTACTCTATCACCCAGGCTGGAGTGCAATGGTGTATCTTGGCTCACTGCAATCTCCACCTCCCGGGTTCAAGAGATTCTCCTGTGTCAGCCTCCCAAGTAGCTGGAATTACAGGTGCTGACCACCATGCCCTGTTAATTTTTACATTTTTAGTAGAGATGGAGTGTCCCCGTGTTGGCCAGGCTGGTCTCGAACTCCCGACCTCACGATTTGCCCACCTCAGCCTCACAAAGTGCTGGGATTACAGGCATGAGCCACCGTGCCTGGCAGATGCTGCTGATTATTAAGCACAAAACAACTGTTCTCAGCAAACGGAAAAGTAGAACCAGCCCACTCTTAGGAGGTGGAGGCCCAGAAAAGCAATGGGGACTGAAAGAAAAGACTGCCGTCAGCCAGAGCAAACACCTGTCAGGAGCTGAGTGCAGGCAGCCACCGCGCTAGGCCCTTACACACACTGCCCACATCCCCACAGCTTGGCTGAAAAGAAGATACCCTGAGAACTCCCAGTTCAGCCCTGAAAGCCTGCCACCAAGCAGCCAAGCCCTCTCAGGGCCTCCAGGCCACAGCGGTTGGGCTTGGCCCGAAACTGCAGCCTGACTCCACTCTGCCTGTACCCCTGAAAGACCTCTCCCCACTGACATCCACATGGCTCTGCTCAGAGACTGGTTCTCCTTCCAGATAAGGAGGGGAGTCTTACTGGGTAGAACAACGTGTAACCTTTTTCCTCCAGGGGACGCAAGGGCTTCAGAGACTTCCTGATGGGGAGAGGACAGAACCCCAATCTCTGGCCTCCCAGTCCCAAATTCTTTTCCCTGCACAGCCACATGCCTAAGAAGAACATAATGGGAGGTGACACACCAGCAAGGTGACAATATTGTGAGGTTCCAGAGTTAGAATCGGTGACGCTCCTCTGGAGTTTCTGAGATTCACACTCTACTTTCTCTTCATGTTTTGTGTCCTTTTTCAGCCAAATGAGAAAATAATCTACTACACAAGCAGGCGCACGAGGACTCTGCTTTCACAGCTGCCACACTGGCAACTCTCGGTCCCTTGAAGACCCCCAGAGAAAGCCTCTAAGCGCTGCCCCACCTCCTCACCCTCTCCCCTGGGTGATGGCAGCAACAGACTGAGTGTGTGGTGCCCTCTTCCCCATCTTGATCCCACTCAAACCACAACCTCCCCTGACTTACGCCAATTCCTTAAGGATTAAGTAGGCCCCTACTTTCTTCACATCCTGCTTCCCACCCTCTCTAAATGTTCTCCCCACGTTCCACCCAAAAGTCCACTCCCTGGTCCCCATCTCAGGGCCTTTGCTCAACGTGTCTTCTCTGCCCAAAACTATCCCTCATCCTTGGGGGTCTAGCTGAAATACCATCTTCCCGGCCACGACTACCCTGGGGCAGGACGGAGAGCAGCACAGCCCATGCCCCATATGGCTGCCGCCCCCTCAGCCCTGTGCTCCTGCGGAGGCGCCCCTGCGGCCACAACCACCGCCCAGTGAGAGCCCCGAAGGCGGGCGGAGGCCCCGTCCCCCTCGTTAGGCCCAGTCCTGTCAGGCCCAGCACCACCGTCCAGGGAGACGGGAACCAAGGCAAGGCCGGAAAATGGGCAAAAGAAAGCGGACGGCCGGGCCCGCGGCGCTCCGAGTCGGAGGCATCCTCAGGCACGTGCCCTCCGGAGACCCGGAAAGCGGAGCTCTGTCAGCCCCCGCGGCGGCAGAAGGCGGTCCCATCGCGAGCGTCCGGCCGCGTTGGGTCCGCGGCCCCTGCCCTGGCCCGGTAGGGAAAGGCGCTCCGCCTGAGCCGCGCCCTCCCCACGCGCGCTCTTGGGCGCCCCACGGGCCGCGCCCTCCTGCAGGTGCCGGGAGGAGAACGCAGGCCCCTCCCTCGAACCCCGGCCGCTGGGCCACACCCCCGCGCCGCGGCCCAGCCCGGCCTGGCTGGGCACCCGCGACCGCGCGGCGACACCAGGGCGGGGCCCAGCCACGCCCGCCCCGCCCCGTCCCGCCGCCCGACGCCGCACCCGCCTCACCTCACCCCGACCCGCCGCAGCCGCCGCCGCCGCCGCCTATCCAGCTGGGAGGCCCCGCCGGAAGTGACGCCACCGTCGGCTGCGCAGGCGCAGGCGCAGCGTGATACCACGTGACGGCCCGGCGGGCGGGGGCGGCTGGGGTTCCCCTGCGGGGTCGCGGCGCGTGTAGGTGGCTGTGGGTCTGCCCGGCCTGGACGGTGAGCGCCGCCGGCCACATGCAGCGGCCGGAGCCCAGTAATCAGGCCACCACCACTGGCTCGTGAGTCACGTTTATTGAAAAAGTAAAAAGTGTCACAGTAAAAAATTCACCTGGAGACAAAGCCAGGCCTGGGAGTGGTGGCGAGGAAGTGGAGGGACGGGTCCGGCCGCCCCTGGCCCATGGATGGGGCATTTGCTGGCCCCTGGGCGACACGCAGCTTCTCCAGGGCCCCGGGCGGGCAGGACTGGCTCAGTCCATGGTGGTCCCTTTGAAGAGCTCCACTAGCTCCTTGAAGTCCGGGTCGATGAGGTCGGAGGGCAGGTCGCCATCGTCGTTGGCTGCGTCCCTGTCCGCTCCCAGGGAGATGAGGTACCTGGGGTGCAAAGGTCGCCCTGTCTGAAGCGGGGAGGAGCCTGGAGAGTGCTCACCCCCCCGACACAGAGGGGCAGACTCCTGGGGTCACATGTGTGTTCCCCACCTTGGGGTTCCGAGGCCCGGGTAGGGTAAGGAGGAAGAAACCTGGCCAGCTTTTCCACTTGGCTCCATTGAGGACAAGAGCAGAAACAGGATTTCAGAAGCTTTTAGGGCTTTCAGGATAGTTGCCAGGGCCACCTTCTGGGGCCCATATCCTGGGGGCCCACTGAGGCCTGCAGGGGTCAGGTTCAAGCCTGAGTAGACTCAGGCTCCCTCACCTGGCTATGTCGGGGTATCCATCGCTGCAGGCAATGTGCAGGGGTGTCCAGCCTGCCTCATCTCGCTGGTGAATGTCAGCCCCGTATTTGACCAGCAGCTTCACACATTCCAGATTTCCAGAGAGCACGGCTTCATGCAAGGCGGCCAGGCCTGGGCAGAGAGGACCGGAGGGGTCAAGACTGAACTCCAGGTCGGATCCTCCTTGCTGACCTCCCCCCACCACCCCACAGCCCCTGGCCAGCTCCTCTAAGGCTTGCTCACCTGAGGGGTGGATGGTGGCCAGGGAGACTTTCTGAGCCCGGATGAAGCGCCCCACCTGCTCCAGGTCACCCTGACGGATGTGGTCCAAGAACAGAACATCGTTAGGGAAACGCACGCTGCGATCAGCCAACATCCGCCGCCGACGCTCCCGTGGGCTATAGCGGGCATAGCGGGCAGTTCTGCTAGGCATCTTGGGTGCTGTGGGGCAGGCTGCCCCTGGGGACCCTGCTGCACTGGGGTGAATAATGTTTCCAGCCCCAACCAGATCTGCTCAAGGGCTCCTGTCGGACTCACCCTTGCCTCTGACTTGCTTATATAGGGCTCAGGGGGCTATATAAAGCTGCATGGTCATCCTCCCCAGCGCCAGGGGCTGAAACTGAGCTGCACACACCCTCCCCTCCCCGGCGCCCCAGATCATGTTTAGTGACTCATCTTTCAGCCCACCTGTCACCATGCCCAGCCAAGGGTCAGACCATTCCTGCCTGTCGCTCCCTGCCCCACAGCTGGATCAAGAAGGTGCCTTACCGAGGGCAGGAGGAGGCATCAGTTCAGAGCCCATGAGATGGCCAGGAACATGAGATCAAGGGCATAGCAGGTGCCAAGGTCAATGGAAGGGTCTGTTCTCTACCTCCTGGAAAGTGAGGGTGGCCACTCCTTCCACATCTGTAGAAGCACAGGTCCACTATGCCGTGGGGAAGCAGGCCTGAGCCCTATCCATCTCCCTACCGGTCAGTTTTCACCTTCCAGCATGGCTTGCCTCACTCTCCATAGTTTTCCCAAAACTACTCTGATGGCCCTGCCTCCTGCTCAGAAACCCCCCCGAGGCTTCCGAGGCTGAGATTTCAATGCCTCAGGTTCCTGCTCAGTCAGTCCTGCAACCCTTCTGAGTGCCTGGCTCCCCCATCCCAAAAGCCTACAGGGGACACGGTGTCCCCCACACTCATGGGCTGGCCCTGCACAGTGTCTCTGGGTTCCAGGTTTGACGCACTTGCTCACACTTAAGATGGTGTCCAATTTGCTCCCCACGTTCAGGGACCCTCACACCCCAGGTGATGTGCCATCTCTGCCCTGGCCCCTGTGAGCTTGCCCCAAGTCTTGCTCTGTCGCCCAGGCTTCAAGTGCAGTGGCATGATCTCAGCTCACTGAAACCTCTGCCTCATGGGTTCAAGTGATTATTCTGCCTCAGCCTCCTGAGTAACTGGGACTACAGGTGCTGGCCACCACGCCCCGAATTTTTGTATTTTTAGTAGAGACGGGGTCTTACCATATTGGCCAGGCTAGTCTTGAATGCCTGACCTTGTGATTCACGGGCCTTGGCCTTCCAAAGTCCTGGGATTACAGGCATGAGCCACTGCGCCCATCCAGCCAAGGGAAATTTTAAGAATCATGTTCCAAGAGGCTCTTCATTGCTGGCTGCCTTTACTTTTGCAGCAGCCCCAGTGGAGGTCCGAGGTGGGGCTTGGACTGCAGGACGTGGGAAGAGCCAGTGGTTGGGACAGGACACAGACACAGAGTTTACCAAGGAGGTCTCTGGGGTCAGGGACGGCCATCAATTGTGCTGGAAACACTGCAGCACTTGAAGTTGGCGGGATGAGTCTGCTGTGGCTGCCATGACAGACCACAGGCTGGCTTAAAAAACAGATGTTCATGGCCAGGTGTGGTGGCTCACGCCTGTAATCCCAACACTTTGGGAGCCTGAGGCAGGTGGATTGCTTGAGGTCAGGGGTTCAAGACTATCCTAATCAACATGGTGAAACCCCTTCTCTACTAAAAATACAAAAAAAGGCCAGGTGCAGTGGCTCACGCCTGTAATCCTAGCACTTTGAGAGACCCAGGCGGGTGGATCATGACATCAGGATTTCAAGACCAGACTGACCAACATGGTGAAAACCTGTCTCTACTAAAAAATACAAAAATTAGGGGGGGCATGGTGGCTCGTGCCTGTAATCCCAGCTACTTGGGAGGCTGAGGGGGGAGAATTGCTTGAACCGGGACCCAGGAGGCGGAGTTTGCAGTGAGCCGAGATCGCTCCACTACACTCCAACCTGGGCTACAGAGTGAGACTTCATCACAAAAAATAAAATAATAAAATACAAAAAATTTAGCCGGGCATGGTGGCACACTCCTGTGGCCCCAGCTATTTAGGAGGGTGAGGCAGGAGAATCGCTTGAACCCAGGAGGCAGAGGTTCTAGTGAGCCGAGATCGCACCACTGTACTCCAGCCTGGGCACACAGCAAGACACGTTCTCAAAAAAAAAAAAAAAAAAAAATGATCATTCCCAGAGTTCCAGAGGCTGAAGTCTGGGGATCCAGGTTTCAGCAGGAGCTGGTTCCCCCAGAGGCTCTGAGGAACGTCTGTCACAGGTGTCTCCAGCTTCTGGTGCTGCTAGCAGTCCTGATGTCCTTGGCAGCAGCATCGCCATTATCTCTGCCTTCTTCTCCATGGTGTTCTTCCTGCATTTGTCTTTGTCCAGATCTCTCCCTTACATAAGGACACTGGGGTCATAGTGGGATGTTGCCTCATCTTAACCAGTGACATCTGCCAGCACCCTGTTTCCAAACACAGTCACATTCTAAGGTTTCCAGGACTAGGACTTCAAAATGAATTTAAGAGATACATGATTTAACCCATAATGCTGGTAAAACCCTGCAGGTGGCCACTAAAGGTCTGAATGAGGACAGAACCAAGACCGGCCAGCAGCTCTTTGCTGGGGCAGAGGAGCTAGGTCACCAACAGCCTTGCTTCATTGGGCTGATCTGCATCCAACAAAATCAAATCAGCAAACATATTAGATACCTCTAGGTGCAAAGCCTTGACCAAATGCTACTGGAAGGCTGGGCACACGGTGGCTCATTCCTGTAATCCCAGCCCTTTGGGAGGCTGAGGTGGGTCAATCACGAGGTCAGGAGTTTGAGACCAGCCTGGGCAACATGGCAAAACCCCATTGCTACTAAAAATACAAAAATTAGCTGGATGTGGTGGCACGGGCCTGTAATCCCAGCTACTCAGGAGGCTGAGGCAGGAGAATCACTTGAACCCGGGAGGCGGAGGTTGAGTGAACTGAGATCACGCCACTGTACTCCAGCCTGGTGACAGAGCGAAACTTCATCTCAAAAAAAAAGAGAAAAAGGAAGAATGCTGCTGGAGAAGTGGCGCTAACAGCGGGTCCCTAGCTGGCGAAGGTTTCCTTGACCTGCATTGGTGCCCAGGTGGATCCCTTGCCCCTCCCCTGGCCTCTGGGCCCCTCACTACAGGCACCAGGTGCCACGCCCTCTCCTAGTCACGTGCTGGAGTGACCCTGGAGCCTCTAGCCGGGCCCAGGCCTGCAGACACCCTGCATGTTGCTGCATTTCTAGGGGCTCAGAGAAAGATGCAGACAGTTGTAATTCCGGGTCACTTGGGAGAAGTGAGTTCATTTTTTTTCCTGGTTTGTTTACATGAAGCCTAGAGACAAAACGTTCCACAGTGGAGACCGGAGACGGAATCACCTCTGATGTGAAGATTGCCTTTTCTCATGTTGTGGAAAGTTCTGTCTGCCCTCCCCGCTCAGAGGATCAGATGAAAGCACGTTGGATGAAGCTGCCACCGACAGTGTGACCAGAAGGAACGCCCTTTCCGGGAGTGACCAGCCTCAGGCTAGAGACATTAGGGGCAAGCCCATCCGGTGAGCCTGTTTGAGGACTCCAAGCAAGCCCCTCTGTCCCTCCTGTCAAAGGAGAGCTGGGAGCACGCAGAGCTTTTGGCTTGGGGGTTTCTAATTGGATCACTGAAGGGACTGATGCCTGAAGCCTCGCCAGTCACAACAGATCCCTTGAAAGGTATTTATGTGCCCTTTGTTCTAATAAGGATGTGAGAACTGTGGGGGTTTGTTTTGTTTTGTTTTGTTTGAGACAGAGTCTTGCTCTGTTGCCCAGGCTGGAGTGCAATAGCACAGTCTCAGCTCACTGCAACCTCTGCCTCTTGGATTCAAGCAATTATCTGCCTCAGCCTCCCGAGTAGCTGAGATTACAGGCACCCGCCACCACTCCCAGCTATTTTTTGTATTTTTAGTAGAGACAGGGTTTCACCATCTTGGCCAGGCTGGTCTTGAACTCCTGACCTCGTGATCCACCCACCTTGGCCTCCCAAAGTGCTGGGATTACAGGCGTGAGCCACCGTGCCCAGCCAGGATATGGAAACTGTATGTTCTATTCCATGATGGCCACTACCTGGAGCACCTCAGCTGTGAAACTTTCTATCAGAAGCCATCCATGAACAGTTGAGCATGCTCCACAGTGGGCGAAACATACTGGTCACGCAGCGCGACGTCAGAGCAAAATCTGTATTCGTGGAGTTTTGTCCCTGATTCTTCTTGGTCCATTTGAACTTGCAGATTGACCTAGTCTGCATGATTCTAAGTTCCTGCCTTCTGGAGGATGAACTAGAACATCTAGTGGAAAAGGTTTACCATCCAACTTTTTTGTTTGTTTGTTTTCTTGAGATATAGTTTTGCTCTTGTTGCCCAGGCTGGAGTGCAATGGCACGATCTCGGCTCACTGCAACCTCCACCTCCCAGGTTCAAGCAGTTCTCCTACCTCAGCTTCCTGAGGAGTTGGGATTACAGGCATGTGCGACCATGCCTGGCTACATCCAACTTTAAAAGTTCAGTGAGGCCAGGCCAGGCTAAGTAGCTCATGCTTGTAATCCTCAGCACTTTGGGAGGCTAAGGTGAGAGGATCACTTGTAGCCAGAATTTCAAGACCAGCCTGGACAACACAGGGAGACCCCCTTCTGTTCAAAACATTTAAAAATTAGCCAGGCATGGTACTGTGTGCCTATGGTTCCAGCTACTTGGAATGCTGAGATGCAAAGATTGCTTGAGCCCAGGAGTTTGAGGCTGCAGTGAGCTACAATCACACCACTGCACCCCAGCCTGGGCAACAGAGTAAGATGCTGTCTCAAATTAAAAAAAAAAAAAAAGTCCAGTGAATGCAACCAGCACTGTTCTGCAGAAAGCACCCTGGAGACCCTGTTAGAAAAGTCATCTAGGCCCGGCATGGTGGCTCATGCCTGTAATCCCAGTACTATGGCAGGCAGAGGCAGGCAGATCAGCTGAGGTCAGGAATTCAAGACCAGCCTGGTCAACATGGTGAAACCTAGTCTCTATTTAAAAATACACAAAATTAGCCAAGCATGGTGGCACACTCCTGTAGTCCCAGCTATTTGGGAGGTGAGGCAGGAGAATCACTTGAACCCAGGAGGCAGAGATCACACCACTGTACTCCAGCCTGGGCGACAGAGCAAGACCATCTTAAAAAAAAAAAAAAGTAAAGTCAGTGCAGCTCCCACTGCAGTCCGGCAGGAGGGCCAGCCTAGGGCCAGAGGGGCTCTTCCCTCCCCAAGGCCAGAGGACCCCCAGGGTGGAGTACACAGGCCAGGCAGCCAGTTTTAGGCTCCCAGCCAGTGGCTTCCCTGGCACCTGGAGAGACAGAAGTTGGGAAACCCCAGGCTGCTAAGCCCTAACTGCCTCCCGACAGAGCCTTCAAAGTCTCACTGCTAATCCAGCAGCCCAGCCGGAAAGGTTTTGGATGTGGCCCCACAGCCTCCCCACACAGCCAAGCCCAGGAATGTGCTCATCAGCTGCCTCTGCAAAATTGGAAAGGTATCAGTGACTCCCTGCTCTCCCAGGAGCACATGACACCCCTGCTCTGTGCTCCGGGCAGCTGCACCATGTCCCAGCTTTCTCTCCAGAGGGCCAGCTCCCCGCACAGCTGGTCCACAGGCCCACTGCACTTCATCTCAAGGGCAGGGAGCACAGGCACAAACACAGGCCACTCCTTTAGCTGTGACTCAAGATAGCCTCCTTCCTCAGAGACCCTGCAAAAAAGCCACAGCTCCTGGGCCTCTGTTCACATCTTGGGGGCAGAGCTAACATCCTCCCATGACACCTCCAGATGCCCATGCCCACTTTTCCATATGTGGCTCACCGTGTTGCAGGACCCAGACAAGGCACACAAACCCCACTGAGGCCCCGGAGCTAAACTAGTCAGAAACTGTCTCCAACACCACAGAGCCAGGGGCCAGGGCAGATGGCAGCACCCAGACTGCTGCCCTGGTGTGAGTTGTGTTGGGCCATGGACAGTGGGCAAAACAGGCTGGTTGGTGCTGGCAACATGCTGATGCAGGTCTTGTAACACGCTGGCCAGATACTCCACAGGAGCGCCTGGGCTTGTGAGGGCCTGGGGGACCAGGAAGGGCAGTAGCGGTCCTTGCCTCCGTTACCATGGACACACTGCAAGGCCTGGTCTGGCTTGAGAGCTGTCTCTGGCTCCAGCAGCTCCAGCCAGCCCGCAAGCTCCAGAACTGGGAGGATACCCGGGAACCTGGGTGGTGCAGAAGCTCCAGGAAGCACGTCAGTACACAAAGTTGGTAGGCCTCACCCAGTCACAGGTAGGGCTCAAGGCAGCCTGGTGAGGGTCGTTCGTTCTCTGTGACCTTCTGAGGGCCGAGCAGCCTCAGACTTTCCTGAGCTGCACTGACTTTACTTTTTTTTTTTTTTAAGATGGTCTTGCTCTGTCGCCCAGGCTGGAGTACAGTGGTGTGATCTCGGCTCCCCGCAACCTCTGCCTCCTGGGTTCAAGAGCCATAGTTCCACCCCCATGCCCTCCTGTGCTCTTGGGCTCCTTCCTCCTGCCCCACCTGTCCTCTGAGACCACCATGAGCCCTGCTGGACCCTCGTGGCCCCTGCTCTTGCCCTCAGTGGGACCCACAGACACCACAGAGCCTCCAAGATCTCCCTTGTGGAGAAGCAGCAAATCTAGGCTGAGCAGCAGCATCAGCCAGCCCTGCACACAGGTCGCAGCTTTGTGTCTTCAAAAAAATCAACTGTTTTTCCGTATGTGAAGCATAAGAGGTCTGAAGTTAAGCCAAATAACAACGTAAAGACCAGGAGATTTTTTTTTTTTTTTTTTTTTTTTTGAGACAGCATTTCTCTTGTTGCCCAGGCTAGAGTGCAATGGCGCAATCTCAGCTGAGATTCTGAATAAGAGTAAGAATAATGCAGGGTCTCACTGGCACCCAGGCTGGAGTGCAGTGGTGCGATCTCTGCTCACTGCAGCCTCGACCTCCCGGGCTTAAACAATGCTCCCACCTCAGCCTCCCAAGTAGCTGGGTGCAAACCATGCCATGCTCATTTTTAATTTTTTGTAGAGATGGGGTCTCCCCATGTTGCCCCAGCACTCGGATTCCAGGCATGAGTCCCTGCCCCCAGTCCTTTGTTGTGTGAAGGGCTAGTGATAAGCCCTGATCCTCTCACCCATCTTTAAAGCCCGAGTCCACCTGATTTCTTGTTGCTCCACAGCAGGGATGAGAGGGAAATGACCTGGAGCCTGTGCACATGACGTGGGGCTGCGTGGCTTCACCTGTGTCCACATCCAGGGTCTAGCCCCACAGTAGAAGCCTAGTCGCAGTTCAGGTGAAGCAGCCTGCACTCAGGGCAGGCATCCTCCCTGGGAGCTGCAAGTCCATGCTGCCTGGGCCTTGAGTCCACAGCTCTGCGGGGGAGACTGGTGCGTTTCTGCATCTGCCCCTCACTCCAGGGGTAAGGCCTTTCAACACTAGTGACCCCACCAAGGCCTGGCAGATGTCCTTACCATCAGCATTCCAGCCCAGCTCCCTGGGTTGGGTGAGATAATAAATCCGAGGCAAGGACAGGTGGTAAAATTTCAACTTTATTTGGCCAATGTGTTCAATTCCAATTGTGAGCTAGAAATGCCTGAAGAATTGTCAACGTCTGACTCAGCTCCAGCATCCTCAGACACCCCCGAGGCTGGGAGTCAGGGGTCCTGGTTCTGCCTTGAGCAGGTCACAGGCTGCGCTGCAGGAAGGCCAGTGGTCACAAGCAATGAGCCCATGACAGGACAAAGAGCTCTGGCTTGAGGAAGGGAAGGGGAAAGGCCTGTCTTGGGCCCCATGGCCGGAAGCAACCAGCCCCACTCCAGGCATGGGGGACACCCTGACAGGATCTGGAAGTCTCCATTTACCCTAAAAATGCAAGAGCCATGTTCAGTCATGGCAACACTGCATGCGGTGCTGACTGACTGTGTCCAGCCTGGCTCCATCCCTCCCACACAGGGGACAAGTGTCTCCAAGGAGGCCTGGCCAAGGTGGAACAAATACCCTGATGTCGAAAAACGTCTAAAAATCCCACAAATGGAATTTTCAAAGAAAACAGAAACCTCCCGCAGGAGGGAGGCAGCGAGACTCTGAACACTCAAGCAAGCACTCTGGACAGACCCATGTACAAAAAAGTATATCACGATTTCAAGAGACAAGGCCCACCAGGGCGGGCTGCCTGGAGATAGATCCCTTTCCAAAAACTGAAAAGCAAAAGGAAGAGACAGGTGTGAATGGATGCTGTGGGGGCACAAGGTGTCACTTCAGAAAGGTTCCCTGGATTTTCGGCAATGCCCTCCTTCAGGTGAGGGTCACAGGCTTCGGAGGCGTGCACTGCTGGGTGTGCAGCCCCCAAGGGGTCTTGGCGGCACCTGGGTCTGGCGTTCTGTATTACAGTTCATCTTTCACAGCTTTCTGATCATCATCTTCCTCCATGTCTGGCTCCTCTGCTTCTTCCAGGTCCTCGAGATCCTGGATGCAGGATAAGTGGGGAACGGGTTGGCTGCAGTGGCCGAGGCTGCCAGCACCCAGCACCCCATGCTGCTCACACCAGGGACCTGGCCATGCTGGCCACGACACCAGAGCAGCCAACCCTGGTCTTCATGAGATTGGCAGGGGTATGTGTGCCTCCCAATTTGTCACCATGGAACCTACAGAGGGTCCC